CCTTACTTTCATATTTCCATGCTTGCCAATATCTAATTGTGCAAAACAAAATGATGGTGGAATAACAAATGATGGTAAACTTGAATTATCATTAATGCATTTTCATCATACAAATCCTAAATGGCAAATGCCAAAACAATGCGAAGTTTATTTAGAAAAAATACAAGAACGAGGTATGAAAATTTCTATGTAATTTTAGTTTTCTTATTAATATTAATTTAGCTGTTGAAAGTATGCAAACATCATCGATGCTTCAACAATCACTCGGTCAAATGCAAAGAAGTTTCTACAGTGATCCACAATGTAAGATTTCAAAAACAATAAGTGAATTATTATAGACATACTCGACGTTAGCTAAACATAGAACAATAGATATATAAATTTACGGTCTATTCGCCAATAGGACATTCGCCATTGGCGAAAGTTCAGGCGCGATTTGGCGTAGGTCCAGTGGATTTTCGGCAACTGTAATAATACAAGATTAGTGTAAAATACATGTGACAAATTAACCTAATATTATCAGAATAGGGCATATTATAATCGAAACCTCTTAATATAGTTACCAGGAGCTATTTTTATACATATGTAATGACATAATGACACTGGCGAGTTTCCTATAAGTATGTTAGCGAAATTCGCGAATCCTGAATCTACGTTAGGAGAAAAAGAAACGATATTTCGAACTTATGTATATACTTAAGAACTTCACTGCTTATTCTTTTGAATTCTAATGCTAACTCAATTATTTCTTTTGAATTTATTCAGTCAGAAGGATTTCATCAAACTAATAATAATAAATATGTCTTGAGATTTGAATTAATCACTTAGAAATATAATAGATGCTTTAATGTCTATATTTTTTGCCTTAATGACTTGAGATTTATATAATTTTGATTATTGTTAATATCGAACCGAAAATTTCCTATTAGATGTTCATTAAATACATGAAATTTATATTTTATTGTATATTTTTAGCTACATCATCAATGTATAATCGTTCGATGATGCCAAAAACATTGAATAATGCATATTCTCCAACATATACAACTGTAAATATGTCAGTACAACAACCATCTTCTTCAATATCACAGAGTGGTATAACAAAATCTGATTCACCTTATCGAAGTTTGGCACCATATGGTGTTCTTTCAAAGTATAAAATTCATAAATCTTTCTTTGCTTATATTTTATCATATTTCTTTCGTTTTAGAATTCATACACAAATGTTTGAATCATCAAATTCAAATTATTTATCCGGTTCATTAGCACCGCTACAAAGTGTACCAAGTGCTGCTCAATTAGATATGAATGTTTCATGTTTATTTATGCATGAAGTAAAACAATTTCTTTGTCTATTATTTTAATAAATCTATCTATTTTCTAGTTACGATATAAATATAAACATGGGGAATATGAAGAACTTGAACATATCGATGAAGATCATGATGATAATGTAAAATGTTAAATAAATTACAATTCTTTTCATTCTATGTGATAGTCTTTCTATTTAAGTTTGTATATTTTATTGTAAATAGAATTTAAAAACAAAAACTATATTTTATTATACTATCTTCTTTTAATATTGTATATATAGTTTCATATTGATCTACTTTTATTATAAGAAACATATTGTATGTAGGTGTGTGTGTTTTTTATTATTATTATTATTATTATATATATTTTTTTTCTTTGAAAATAAAGTCCAGTTCGTAAATTTAATTTTTGTTAAACTTTAAGTCATTTTGATGATTCCTGTTGAGCTGTTTTACTTGATTTTCTATTTATGAAAAGAAAAGAAAAATAGAGAAAAACAAATCTTTTTTTTTTTTCTTACTTTGCTTTTGTAGGAGGAAGAAATTCAGTATAGAGTATTTCCGGAATAGCTTTTATTGTTTTTTCAAATGATTCACTAAGAATAAAAATAAGGAAGAAAATATATATTTCGTATAAGAAATAATTTACGGTGGTAATAGCATTGGTGGTGGTAATTGTTGAACAACAAGTGATGGTTGTTTAGTTACTTGATTTGTTTGTGGTTCACGTTTGGTACTTGATGATCTTTTTAATGATGATTTTGATTTATTATTATCTTTTGTTAACGTATTTTCTTCCGCCTTTTTATTTAAAGCATCCATATTTTCATAATCAATAACTTCATTATATGGATTACCTAAATATATATTTATATATCGTATCAAATATATTGAAAATAAATATTTTACTTGGATCAGCACTAGTATGAACAGTAAATCGTTTTGGTTGCATTTGTGGAACAGGAACATCTTCTTTAACAGTTTCTTTAATAACTTTACAAGCTTCTTCAATTGTCAAATAAGTTTGATCAATTGGTTTTTTACTATTAGTCCACATTTTCATACTTATTTCATAAGCTTTTTCAATACATTCAATCTAAGACATTATAAATAAATTATTTTTGACATCTAAACAAAAATACACATACCTCTTCTTCAGTACCAACTTGAATTTTTCCTCGATATATTTCAGCTACACTATCAAAAATACTATTCAATTTACTTCGTATATCTTCATAACATTGATATCCTTTTTCATCAAATTTTTCATCAGCATCTTGATCTTGTTGTGGTAAACCATATGTTAAACATCTAAATAATTAGAAAATAAAAACAGAAAAAAACAGCACTAATCGATTTTAAATACTTAGCACAACGAATAGTGAATTGTGTTAATGGTGATAATTCAACTAATGTAGGTTGATCTTTATCAATAATATAAGCTAATACTGTTTTAGCAACACAAAATTTTTCTAATTTTATTTGTGCTTTAAAATTAAGTAGATCAGTTGGTAAATGTGTTTGAATTTCGATATCAATTGGAAATTCATAACGCATAAGAATTTCAGGAAATGTAAATGTACCATTATGATTTTGATATTGTGTATGTAATTCATGATCTTTAATTAATGTTGCAAAACGAAGTGGTACACCAGGTGGTATTATAAATTCATCATTAGTATTCGGATCTTCAAGTATAAATGCTTCTTTTGGTTCACTAATTAATACTTCATCTTTACTATTTTTAATACGTGATTGATATTTTTCACGACGTATAACATTAAAATAAGCATTTTTACATAGAACAATTTTTTTCCATTCATCCTTTGTTGTTTTCATATGTCCTGGTGTATGACAAAGAACTTTAATTAAACGTGGTAATTCAAAACGATATAATTCAAATGCACCTTGAAAAACCCACCAACGTTTTTTTAATGTTGGATTTTTTGATAATATACGACATTCACCTTGAAACCAATCTGGTATAAGATATTTTTCTTGTGAAACTTTTGGTTTATTTGTTAATGATGATGCAATAATTAAATATCGATCATAGATTGTTTGTAAATATAACCATTGATCTTTTGTAAACGCTGTATTCCATGATTGTTCAACACGTATTATTTGTGGTAATTGATAATAATCAATAAAATTATGAAAATAATATTCACCTTTTTCCCATTTGATTTTTTTTAAGTCTTTAATTAAACTTTCAAGTTTATCTTTATTATCCGAAGATAATGAAATAGGAATCAATGATGATGACATTTGATATCAAGGAGAGATAATCTTATATGAATGAGTGTTGTATGAATATAAAACAATATACAGCAATCACGCTTGATTTAATAACAAGGTAAATATTTAACCTTATACGTTTTATGATGTATTGTCTCGACTTTTATTTTATCAACAAACTATGAAAAAAATATTATTTAGATAATAATAACTTGACTAATTGTTGTAATCTGTATATTTCGATAAGAAAAAAAAATGTGTATTCAACAAATCCTACTTATTTGAATAGAAAGTGGAGTTACGAAAATTTTGTTCATTGAAATATTCTTTTACCTTTTCACATGATTAATCAAATAGTTATATAAAATGAGTTTGTATATGTATATATATTTGCATATATTTATATAGTTGAGTGCCTTATGGCTCTAATAATAAATTCAAGAATGATGAATTGTTGACATTCAAGATCAAAAAGACTATACTGGAAGTTCTTCTAGAATGAAAAAAAAATCCGTATACTGTGAATTAAATATTATAGTAATGTGAAGAGATGAATCTCTACCAATAAATAATTATATAAAATATACTTAATATCATATAAACTGTAGTTAAGTACCGAATATCTGATTCAAGGTTTTCTTTCATATATATTGTATTCTCTTTGTCAAATATTCAATATAGTGCAATGAGCGATAACTTTTTTGTTTTATTTAATGTTACCTATTGTATATTCGATTAATGATTCACAGTACAAAGGATGCTCCAGAAGTTTTAAACTTATTGTTCTGGCACATAATAAAAGCAAACTTTCAGAGGTTAGTGTACATATGTAGTACTACATGACTACAAAGTTTGATGTCTATCTCTTTTACTATAAATGAATACATGAAAAAACATTATTATACACTATTTTTTCGATTTTATTATCATCTTGATTATTACTTGTTGATACAATAAATTATCACGTACAAAAATGAGTATACGAGGGTAAAAAAAACAATTTTCTTTTCTCTTATATTCGTTAATAAAAAAGAAAGTTTGGAAATAGTAATTGTTTTCTCATTATTACATTCCCTTATATGAATTTACGTTGTTGGAAAATCGAAAAAATAGTGTATGATAATGTTTTTTCATGTATTTATTTATAGTAAAAGATATAGGCATCAAACTTTGTAGTTACGTAGTACTACATATGTACACTAACCTCTGAACGTTTGCTTTTATTATGTGCCAGAACAGTAAGTTTTAAAACTTCTGGAGCACCCTTTACGTATAAATTGATTACTTTCCAATACATAAACGAAGTAGATCAACAACAAAGAGATAAAAATTGTATTCACTTAAAAAAAGGTAATATCCTTTTATTATATACAAGACATTGTACACACATTACATTGATAAATGGTTGGTTCGCAATCAACATTTCAATGATCGAAACTCTTACTTTATATTGTTTAATAATATGATTAAATTGTCTTATGAAAACATATAGTAAGGGTAAAACGAGAAACCAAAACTAGAACAATAATTGTCTCCATGAGAAATTTCTAGTGATGGGCCAACCCGTGTTTTTTAAAAACTTAAAATTGCGAAATCTCACGAAAAAGCTTACGAAGTTATGAGAAGTTTGCGAAAGTGTATCACTAACGCGATCGTTCAGTTTCGTTAACTTCGCATGTTCTTTCATAAGATTTCGTTCCTGACGAGGCTCTTTCGGCCCAACACTAGAAAATCCCTTATTAATATGCGAAAAGAAACTCGTTGTAAATAGGACTGTTGAAATAATTTAATTTTTTGTATTATAATCAAGTAAATATTCATAGATTTCTTATTTGATCCTTTTTCAATACAAAGATATTGTGAAACGTCTTATTTGTATTTCTCTAGATTTTTTTAAATATTTCATTGTATATAAATAATAAAGTTCGATTGATATCTTCTGTATTCATTCGAATCGTAATTAATTCTAAAGTATCAGTTCACACAAATACACACGTATACAAATCTGGATTTTGTCTATATATATATATATGGGTATATATATATTTCATAGAAAAAAAATTGTAGTAATAAAAAAAAGGAACAGAAAAAGAGATAGTGAACAAATGAGAGTAAGATAGAATATTAAATTCCATCGACAATGACAGTTAGAAAATGAGTAAATATAGAAATATACCAATCGATATTGGCAGTGGTGTATTTTCTTTATTACAGAAAATATATCAAATGAAAAAAAAGAAGAGCTTTTTGATTTGTTCATGCCACATAACTATACATTTTCCTATTGAATAAAGAAAAAACAACAATAATAATTTAAAATTAAAAAAATCATTTAAAATTACCTATCATCTGTTGATCGTGATAAATAATCTCGTTCAATTAAACTTTCAATTCGTTTTTTAATAAAAACAGGACTAGGCATAAACCTTATTTTAAGTTGATGTGTAACCTAAATTAAACAAAAACATTTTTATAATAAGAATTAATTTGATAGGAATTAAATACTTCAGCAATTAATTGTGTATGTGCCATTTGTTTTCTTGTTTTCATAATACGTACAATAGCTGCATCAATAACATGTTTTCTATCATCATCAACTTTATTTCGAGTTTCTTGTCGTTCAGGATCACTTTCAATTTTAGCTGTTATTGGATTGATTTTTACACGAAATAATTTCGATGTAAATGAATCATTAACAATAAATTTATCGGTTGGTTGAATCTCTTTTGTTTTAGGTTCTTTAATAAATATACGTTGATTTGGTTTACCCATTGATAATGGTAATAATGCACGTTGCAAATCTTTTTCAATTATATCAGTTTCTTGATGAATTTCCTTAACAAAACAAAAATATTTATATTATTATATTCAGATTAGGGATGTACCGAGCCCGACTGTCAGGGTGGGCGTAGGC